CCCGCCGCACCCCGCTTTTCCTCAAAGTTCGGGGCGGGAGCGGGGGGGAGACCGGAGCCAACTTGTCCCGGATCCCTTTATTCGCCGCCGGAGCCGCCGTCTCTCCCAACCCCCGCGTGTATTGCTGATCGGAGGGACGGAGCTCGGTCCTGTGTCCGCCCCGCTCCTTCCTGTCCGCACCATGGAGTTCGCCCAGAGGAAGAGGAGCAGGAAATCCCAAAGCTTTAAACTGGTCAACGAAGGTAAGGCGGGGGTGGCCGGGCTTTGTTCGCTGGCCGGGGGCAGCCCCGACTTTTGCCCCGGGGGGAGCGGGGCGTTATGAAACGCCGGCGCCCCCGGGCCGCCGCTCCCTCCCGGCTCTGTTATTGAACTCCGCAGTCCTCCGCCTGAACTCCCCGAAACCATTGCACGCCTATCTTTTTTTTTTTTTTTAATTTTATTTCTTTCGCCCCCTTCCCGTTTCCTCTTTCTTTTTTTAATTATTTTTTTGCATGTGTGTTACGTGTTGTTGCAAAACCACCACCTCAAGCCTCCCCACCACCACCTCAGGTGGACGTGTTATTTTTTTCCAAGCAGAGAACCTTGCACAAAATAAAGTTGGATCGTGTTTAGTGGTGAATCCTGCTTGGGCGGGGGGGAGAAAAAAAAATCGGGAAGCGAGCAAAAAATAAATGACACTTGAGCAGCGACAGAGCTCCTTAGCATTCAACTCTTGTGGATTTATTGTATTTGGGGTGGTTTTTTTCCTCTCCTCGTCTGTGTACATCCTTGTATTTCAAAGAAAAGCTGAATCGAGATCGCTTTATTAAAAATCCACGCAGGTAATTAATTGTACGTGGGCAGGGGAGAGCCGCTGGCGTGTAACTTGTTCGCTCGGGGTGTGTTTGCTTTTAGAAAAGAGGATATTTTAAAAGGGATCGTGAGGGGAGAAATATTTGAATTCATGTCGGGCAAGAAGCACAGCTCTGTGTTTCAGTCTTCTTGTTGTTGTTTTCTTTAATTAAAGGGGGAAAAAAGATAGAGCCGCTGGTAGGCATTTTCACAGGTGGACTTCCCAGCCCTAGGGATTTATTTTGGTTGGGGATTTATCCCTTCTCTAGCCGATGAGATGTTTTTGCCCTGATGGAATTGATTCGAGATCGTTTCTCCTTTTGTGTTCTCAAGTATTGGACGGGAATATCTCCATGAAACGCTGTGTGTGTCCTGCATGCCAAGTTCAAGGCAGGTGACTGCTTGGGTGTAATGTCACGCTGGTGAAAAGGGGGACACACGAGTGTGAAGACTTGCTGTCTGAGGAGTGCTCTGCAAAAATTACATTTGAAATGAAAAAATTCAAAGATGGAAATAAACTCACTTGGTGGGAGTAGTAAATAATGACTACTATATCGTGCTAGGGGAGTCTGGGGCATCACACATGGTCCCTGTTAAAACCAGAGGGGCAGGGACTTGCCAGACGTGTCTGAAATGCATTGGAGGTCTGTATCCATTAGCAAACCCATCAAGGGTGTAATTTTACAGAGAACGGGTTTGCTTTGTGGGCTTTCGGTACTGAACATGCTCCCAACTTGGAGGCAGAGTTAGTGCATGACTGGGCTGGAGCATGGAGAGGGTGAAAGCAAAATGGAAAAACAAAACTGAAATTTTGCTTTTTTTTCTTTCCGTCCTAATGGGCCTGTAAAAAGAATATTTGCCAAAAATAGGTTACTATTATGCTAATCTCAGTTGCCACTTTTTACAGGTTTAGATATGCCTCAGTGTATGAGACAATCTGTTTAACCTTATTTTAATAGGTAAATCCAGTTATGATGGTACATTATTAATAATATTTTATCTGTGGTCTCTTTTTGGATGTAGAGAATTAAATACAAAGCTACACTAAAAGCATATGCTAGAGAGAAAATTATGTCTTTTTACTTTGAGAATGGAGGAGATAAAAATCAGGTTTTGTATGTGAGTCTGCACTCTTATACTCTCTTCTATCACAGTTGATTAGAAAGATAATTATGTATAAACAGTTGTCTCTTGTTATTGGCCTTTGCCTCTTGCAGGAGTTACTCTGTAATGTCACAGGTTAGTGTTTACTGTTGTGAAATTGATACAGTTTTCCAGTGCCTGGACTGGAAAACTGTATCATCCAAGGCAGAAAAATGAAACCAAAGAGAAAAGGCCATGCTGTATGAATTGGCTGGTAACACACCATCTGCTATTGATGTGTGCCCATACAATGTTTATTCTGTCCCAAAAATTACTTTGAGCACCTTACCACAATTATCAATAGTGACCAAATCAAGAGAAAGTCCATTACTGTGCTAAACCACAGCCACCTCTGGGGTGAAATGTGGTGACTTTAAGGCAGCAGCTGCAGACCAGAAGAATATTGTGCCCAGCTGGGTGTACAGGGAAGTGCTAGAGAAGAAACTGGGTGTAATCTGTATATCTAAGGACTATGAGTCTGTAAGTCATTTAAGTCCTAGTTTCCACTTACTTCCTTCCACAGATCTTGAATGTCCTTGAGAGGATGAAGGTGCAGAGTGTGGCAGGTAGACCCTGCCTGGCTGTGGCCACCAGGTGCCCACCAAGCCACTTCATCACACCCTCTGCTCCACAGGACAGCTGGTGATCCTGGAAGGCAGCACAAACCCTGCCAGTTTAGTTCCATAAAAGAAGCTTTTACTTCCTCTATGTCATAGCTCAGACTTCACCTTTACCCATTTCATTGGCTGGGCGTGCTCGGGAAGCAGAGGAATCCTTTGTGTAGCACCTCATCCCTGACCTCTCCAGTTCTGTGGTGTGTTCTGGGTTGTTTCCCCCTCATTTTCTTTCCAGGCCCTTCTCATTCCATAGAATTGCTGTGTTAGGCTCAGTTTTAGTTTACATACTGGGTTGTTCCTCCTCTTGTGCCTTCGAGACAGTTGTGCAGTACAAATAAACACACCTAAGAAAAAAGTGACTTCCAGGAGCCTTTTCCAGTCCTATGCCTGTTTGGTCAGAGGTGCAGGTGTGCTGCTTGTGGAAGGAGCTGCTTCTGCTGCCCTCCACTCGTGTTACACCTTTTTAAGTGAGTCCCCCCAAAGTCCCTTCCATGAGTTAATCTCTGCCTCACTTTTTGTGAGGCAAGTAAACATAAAACCAGTTTCAGGAGGGAGTAGCTGAGAGCGTTGGGAACTGGGAGGGCATGGAAGGAGAGAGGTGGGGAGGTGGCTCTTTCAAGACACTGAATATATTGTTCAGTCTTGAGTGATTTGCTGAAGGACAGAGTGTGTGCCAGTAACAGAGGCAGAAATAGCATCCCCGAGAGCTGCCTTAAGTGACTTTTTTTTACTTGGACTTACTATTTCTCTCTGTGTAAACAAAGCTCTGGTTTTAGTGAACACCTGCCTGGTGTTACAGCAGAGACCTTCACAGCAAAATATTCTTTTACTTTAAATAGAAACTCAGTGGTGATTTTTTTTTAATATCTTGTAACATATGAGATGCCAGTGCTAATTCTTCAAGTCATTACAGGCATTAATTTCTAGAAGTGAATATCCTAAGGTGTCACTGATCCTCCTTTCTTCAGAACTGGGAGGCCAGTGACATCAGTATGAGTCAAGCTGAGCAATAGAGCCCTGGTGTACATTGCTGATTGCTTACTGAGGTGAAGTTTGAAAGTTTGCCTTGGTCTCTGGGAAGGTAAAGTTTTTATTATAAATCTGCTTTCCTTCTGTAAAGCAAGAAGCCAGATAATTGGCATCTGGTGGGATAATTTGCTGTGAAAATGAACACAGTAATTTAGGGCAGGCGTAGCTATTCCCTAAAATCTGTGAAATATTTGAGCTGAGTCCAGTGTGAGCAAAGGTTTTTTCGGAGGTGCTGATACAGAGCACATTTTCTGTGGTTAATTTGATGTACATGAAATAAACTGCAGATATATTGATAAATTGTGTTGTAAAACTGTAGCAATGTGTTCAGTGTTCATTTTTTCCAGATCACTTGAATTCTAATTTTTTTTATCGTTTTTCATTCCAGATTACCATCATGAGATATATAAGATCTCTGACTACAGCAATGATGTTAATGGAGAGACCAAAGAAACACAACCAGTTTTTTTAGGTATGTGCTTGTGTTGATTAATTTTCAGGCAACATTGCGTGGCCATTTGCAATTAGGGAGGAAAAAACCTCTGTGCAAGCACAGAAAGTGCCTGCCATTGTTTAATATGACATTCTCTTCAAGACCCTTTTATTCTATGAATTGCCAATATATCCTTTATTAACACTGCTAAAAGTTGTAATTTCAGACATAAATGTTTATTAGTGTCTACACACAGTGCTAATTATCACTCACTCAGAGAGCCAGATGCTGACTCTGCAGTTTTGCAGCTCTGTGCTCACCCCATTTACATTGCATATTCCCTGGCATGCTTCACTGGCAATAGTTTGTGTAATTGGGGTATTACATCTTTGACATCTGGATAACAGAAATTCAATTTCCAGGAAGCTGCTATTTGTTTGGTTTTGCTTCTGCCTTGGGTGGGATAGAGGATTAATGTGCTGTCTTAATGTAATGTCCTTTCACCTCTGGAGCTTGCCTGCTAATCCTGGCATGGCAAAATTAAATTAAATCAACAGTTAAAAATGTGTAAAGAAAATACAGAAGTACTATAGAGTCTGCAGCATGATATGTATTACAGCA